TGTACATTTCGTACTTGTCATAATCTTAATGATAAATGCCTTAAACCTATTCCGCTGCCCTTAAATCAGCTTCGTAAACGATTATATTGATTGCTACCAGTAAGTAATGGTGTTTCTTCATATTCTCATGTTTCAGATATGGGTCGATCAATGATAGCACTGTTCATTGTGGCATTTTTTGCTGTATTTGTTGCATTCTGGACAGGAGTTGCTGGTTGTTGGCGTCGGTCTCCCGGCAACATTACCTGTACTGCCATTCTTATGCTGCTGGCATGTAAGTAGCAACTTCTTCTTCTATGACTCTCCAGTCCTTATTTAGTCCATGGCCTCCTCAATTCTCCTCTTCCATTCTGTCCTCTGTCCAAGGCTTTGATCGAGGTCTCGAAACATCTTCCTTTTTACGGTGCAAGGTTGTTAGCCTTGCGACCAACCCCCAACCTGGAGGACCAGGGTACCTGTCTTAGTCTGACCTCTCCCCCTTAACCAACTGGCTAGGGAGGCCCTACCAGTAGCTCTTGGGGTCACTGAGGTACTCAGCCCCACCACTACGACAACGTGCAGGTACCATTAAGTGGGGAAGTAGCAACTATTTGACTGTAATTCTTCAAAAACATAATAAAATACTCATAAAAGAGGTCACTGATTGGCTGAGGTCCACCTAGGAGCACTGTGATTGGTCACAATTGGGGTCTGTATGATATCATGAACATATAACAAAGTATTTATCACCCTGATGACAGAGGCAGCAAGGACATCTGAAACATCAGTAAAATTCTACTAGACTACATGACGCAACAACCAAGAACACAGCCATCTTCAGACTCACTGTCGTGAAAACCCCAAATCCTAGTTACGAACATTATCGTTAATAAAATATGTATTACTAATTGAAATATTGGGGCCCGTTGTTAAAATATGTTATTTAACAATGGCAGTAGGAGAGAATATACTAAAATGATATTTGATCTTTAATTTTGAAAATTGCATGCATGATGTTTGTTTTCCTCTGATTCTAAATGTCTTCATTGAATTTTGAGTGTAATAATCATTCCTGGCTTTGAATCCAAGCGTACTCTGCATATCGTAGAAGTATAATGTATATAATAACAATCACCACACTGATTTTCATGCAGTCGAGGATCACAGAGGAACATTCCCACATTTAATTTGTTCTACTTGATACTTTGATATTTGCAGATTTCTTTTTAACCTTGATTAGAACTGTCCAGGGATTGAAATCACCTCCGTCCAACGCAAGGTTAATTTTTTTTTTAACTTGATGATGGAAGCAGAATCAGCTTCTGAAACATTGTGCTTTTAGCTAAAATATTGGGTGATGAAAACACGTAATTTTACTTGGTGACCGTTTTCAGGTCTGCTGAGTGCCGGCGGAATGGGTCTGTGGCATGGCGTGGAGTGCTACGAGAAGGAAAAAGTTGTCGGTGAGGAGTTTTATCAACAGTGGAACAATGTGAGTCAGGAAATCCCAACCGATTCTCTAAATTCTTTCATCTGATTATGAAAATGTTGTCCAGTAATTTTAAAACTAATATTCTTCAAGTTTTAAAGAGGCGAATCACTCCGAGCTACGATTAGTTTTGTTCAAAGAATATTTTACATACAGAATATGAGAGGATAGATAAAGAATGATACAAGAAACAGATTAATACATTATAAAATAAAGTAAATTAATTTTCAGAACTTTTGAATGACAATGAGGATTTATAATTTGAGAGTTTTTGAACTATTTATTTTTTATGTAAATTTTAAAGGGTTGTTACAATCAGGATTAATAAATTCTTGGAATTTGTCCACCATCTGATATTCAAAAGTACGCAACCTTTCAGAAACAGATCCAGTTTCCAAAACGTGTTCTCTTGAATACAAGACGATGGACAAATTCCAAGAAATTTAGTAAACCCAAATATTGATTTAGATGTTAGTGTACAAGACTTTTTATGAACTTCCCATACTTTCATCTTGACACTATTGATCTTTTATTGACATTTTACTTTTGGTATTAAATTGGGTCCCCAGTGGCCGCTCGGTCTGAGGCGTGGACCTTCTGCCGCTTGGTCGCTGGAACTGTGGGTTCGAATCCCACTCAAGCCATGGATGTTTTTCATGCTGTCCTGTGTACAGGTAGAGGCCTTGCGACGGGCCGATCCCTCGTCTAAGGAGTCCTACCAAAATGTCTATAGATCAAGCCAACAGAAAAGTTGGGACCCGCAGTGCTCAGGCACTTGAAGAACGGGTCGATCCCAGTATCCAGTAAAACATTTTAATTTATTTCTCAAATATATCAGCAATTCATGCCTCGAAGAGTTACTGATTTACATAAATGAAATTAAGTTGATGGCTGATGTATAGGTACTGAGAGAAGAGACCGTGATGATGTATGACTGGTCGTTCATCTTGGCGTGGATCAGCGTTGGATTTTCTCTCATTTCAAGTACACTGTTCTTCTGTGCCGCTGCGTGCCTACGTTCAGAGCGCGAGGCAGAGAAAGCGAAGAATGTGCAGTACATTATGCCAGGTCTGCTCTAGTGTGGGATTTGCCACATTTCAGGGTGCAAAAAAGCATGTTGGTACACTTGAAAAACTGCTGTACAACCATATTGAACATTCCGCATATGGGATGTAGACAGAATTAATGTTAATGGATTACGTGTTTATCTTACAGAGGAATCTGAATTACAGAGATCATTTGCCTGTGGTAGGTGGTGATTCACCTATTGGCGAAGAAATTTATTCCAAACAAGTGACGGGACTGTGGTACAATATCGTAACTAATGATTTTTAAGGTGGAGATATTCTTTATGGTTGTAACGTGCTGCAATATAACCTTGAACACAAATGCCTGATAACATGTCTTCCAGTCTTTGTCTGTCTTATGTTCTTATTAATGCGACAGAATATTGAACGTTACTGATGACAATTTTGAGGCAAACTACATTTTAGACAACTACAGAATTAAAAAAGACTTATTTTGACTGTATTGTGGGAAAAATATTTTATACGTTTTCACATTAAATTCGATAACTTCTGAACAATAGTGTTTATTCTTTTAGTTAACGTGACAAAACTCAAGTAATTTTTTTTTTTTAATTCTCCTGCCAGTTTGAGGTATCATTTTGGCTAGTGGCATGGATATTGATGTATTACGATAGAGGAAAGAAGTTGGCACTAGATTTTCTTTGAACACTTTAAATATATACCAGAAGGCTTATAGGAAATATGAATGAGCAATTTATATTAAATTTTTAAGTACTTGATAGTTATTAAAACATTCCATTCCATTACTATGTTTGTGGTTTCTAACATACAAAACACCATCATCAATCAAAATATTTATAATGCATTGTCTCCCACCTCAGAACACTGCGTAATTAATACTCATCGCAACACAACGCTGCAAATAGAAGCTGTTAACCTAAAAACTATGCGAGGGAGTATTTAATAAAGTCAATTTAAATTTGAGGCTGGGTTTTATATCTATTTCACAAAACCAAACCATTTATTTGTGTAAAACTCTTTATACAAAAAAATTATTTCTGTTTTTGTTTCTGTAATCTCCGGGTGTTAAAATTCAAATTGGATTGATAATCGATTATAAGGATTAGTAGTGAGTATGATAGGATTTGGAAAGAAATATTTGTCCTATTTGTTTATAATATTCAAGCCTTTGCTCTAGTGACTTTGGAAAAATCTCGGCCAGATTAGTCAGTTCCATGGCAAAGATTTAAACCTGGTAAGCTGCGCACAGATAGAAGAGACACACGTGCTGCCACTACGTCAATGTGATTTTACCAAAACTGGGAATTTTATTTTTTACCACATTTTTCTGATCTTGTATAACGTTAGACTAACGCCAGCTGAATGATTTAAAGATTATTATATAAGGACACGCAGACATGACTGTGACAACATGTTCAGTTGGTTTAACTTACTGATGAACAGTAATGAAGCATGCATCATGATTCTTGCCCCTGGAATGAAGCTAATCCACTCTACAGTAACAAAAGAATCAACGTAACAATTAACACTGCTTTGTTCTTTGTTTTTCTCCTCTTGTCTTCCTTATCCTTTAATCTCCAAACCCCTGCTTTGGTCTAACCCCAAGCAACTCACAGGTTCTAAGGGAAAACTCAATCCTTTCTTATGATTGGTCATACATTGTGGCTTGGATCGGTGTTGGATGGGCGCTCGTTTCTGCCATCTTGTTCTCGGCGGCGGCCATTTGTCTGAGAGGCGAACGTGAAAAGGAAGAAGCAATGAACATGCAATATCTAATGCCTGGTAAGAATGCCTTAACATGACATTTGTAATGCCCTGTTTCATGTAAGTTTCCAACGAGTATCAGTCAGAAAAAGGTCTTCTCGAGCCCATCAGCTGTGTAAGATGATTAAACAAGTTTTAATGTAAAGAATTCATGATGGCTGTCATTAATGAAATCTTTTAAAGTCTCTTGAAAATTATATATAAATTTCGAGGGTTTCCTTATATAATATTATAAAACAAAATTATTTTTTTTGGAAATATTTAAAATATTTAGAATTGTTTAAAATATATACAAATATTGCATAAAATATTTAAAATGTGATAATTCTTTTTGGTGACCCAGTAGAAACACAGGAGGCATGTATGCGAGTTCTAAGACGGTAGGTTTTGGAAGAGACGCGGTGTGTATAAATGTACAGTCAGCATCAAATTTATTTTCGTGCCGTGTGGTTAAGATGATGGTGAAAATTCATCTAGGTTAGACGCCTTTATTGATGGAAAGTATTTGTGACACAGGAAAGATTGAACTAAGTGAAGTTAAATTATTGAAATGCACGTGGGTTACACTAAAAAATTTATAGGATGTAAAGCGACGATGAGAACTGAGTAAGCTATCGTCTTTGAAGTTTTAATAAATTAATCATTGACATACAGACAGACAGACAGACAGACAGGAAAGCCTCCAAATACATTATTTTTTGTGACGATGTTACTCTGTCTGACAAAAATGCTAATAACGTGAGAGGTGGTTGCTTAATTAAGTTGAAATAACAAATTAACAGAACATCTGTGGTGGCAGCCAGTAACTATTCTGCTTCCTAATTGACTGTTTGCAGATGTGGGTTCTGCTATCTTCCTCCTCCTGTTCAATGGAAAAGACAGAGATGTGTTACGTTAACAGAGAAGTCTGGAGAAAAGTTTTAATTTTTCCCTGAAAGCACTTGTAAAACTTCATATAACCTTTTCTCTGTAGGTTGCAGTTAATCAAAAAGGACTTTACTTCCATGATATTTATTAGTATCCGATTAAAGGGAACGAGGATACGTTGAACTTGTTCCCTATATGGTGAAGATTAAAAAAATTAATAAGCAATCTATGAAAAATATGTTGTAAGGATGTGAATGAATTATTTCACAGTTACGATCTTAGTTGGCTGTGGAATTTAAATTTTTGGTTCCTTAAAACAAGGAATATCATGAACTTCTGAAACATTTTTCAGTATTTAGAAAGATCCTGTCCTGGGGGACGGTGTTTAGTTTGACTTGATCTGACCGAGTTAGTGTTTAGTCATTATAATCGGGCAGGATTTTTTTTTGTGTGTGAAAAATTGTGTTTTTACTAGCCTCCCCCAATTCTGAAGATATTGTATGTTAGTATATTTTCTTTTTAATCGTTGAATGAATCTGTGAACTTGTATCATTTCAGTGTACCCACAGAAGCAGCAGTATGCGTATGCATCAACAGGTTACCCTGCACCGGCAGTGTACCCTGGGCCATATTATCATGGCTCACAATATGGACCATATAACTATTAGCTACAAGATATTATAGCAAGAAGGTAACGCACTGAGACATTTGTTCACCATAACTTGTGGTACTGATGGTGCTGTTAAAAATGACATGTCCCACTGAATCTTAATGCTGGCAACAGTTGGCCCACCAGTAAGCTGTCGGTAATGTCACTAAACAAGCGCTGAAATTTATCGGAGTTTCATTCATGAAGACCCAGTTTTAAATTAAAGTATTTTGGTTTGAATAAACCCAACCTTATGCTTTCTCTTTGCTAAAACATCAATAATTTCTTTCTGTGCCTCAGATTAGTCATTTAGGCATCGCTTCCATTTTTTCTGTCAATTTGGGGTTTCCAGATAATCCTTAGGTAAACCATTCTGTCCATCTGTCTCTGAAAATGTGGAAAAAAAATGCTTGGGCTATATTTTATTTCAAATAAATGATATTCCAGAATAAACTGTATGGATTATAAATTAATATTTAAGACCGATAATGTAGAAAGTTGGTTTTCATATCTGAATTGCTCAGAGTATGTTTTTTTCTTTTTAAACTCTGTGAAATACGCCATGGACTCTGTACATGTAAAATTAATAATGCGGTTAACCCCAGGTCTCAGTTCAGGAGTTGCCGTAGTGATTTCCAGCGTTATTTTGTGATAAAAGTCTTCACTCGATCTGCATCCACAACACATTTTAGATTACCATAAAAAAGATCCTTATTAGGGTAAATTAGAACCATAAATCAGCTGCTCAGAATGTATGAAAAACCTTATTGGTAACCAGAATGTCATGATTTAATGCTAATGAACTTTCTGATACTTGGTTTGCTCTTCTTAAATATGTATTCTGCAGTTTCGTTGCTTTTACTTTATATAAAGATTTTTCATGTATCTTTGAAGTTAAAACTTATTACTTCAGGTAGCCAGTGTACCATCGAAAGCTCGAGTACGCAATTTTTCTGCATCTTAAGACTAACTGAATTGGTGCATGGTACTGAGCTGTATTTGCTGAGGTGTTGCTTATTTAAAGTGACTCACATAATGACAGTTCTAAGGATTACAACAATTGTTTTCAGAAGAACATCACATTTCAGGTATTGCAACTTTTGACTAATGAAACACTGCATTTGTTTTAAGGCAGGGAATGACTTTGTAATCAGTTTCATTTTGTGTATTATCATTAATTTTCTACCGTAATTTTATTTCATTAAAGTTGTTGCTGTTATTGGTTAACACATGGCCAGTTGTTTATTATGACTTTCAATTTATTTTCTTTAGAGAAAGAAGTTGATAGGCTGGTTTATTACTGTGTCCATTGGTTTGGATAATGGCAGTATGAACCTTCAGCCATTTTACCAAAGAGTTAGGTTATGTGAGTGGTGTCTTACTTAAAAGGTAAATTTGTGCAGAACATCAGCCATACATTTTTTTTAAATTCAGTATAACTTTAATTGCAGCTTTTATTAGTGTTCCAACTGTGAATTATCTTAAAATTTGGAATGAGTGAATATATGACTCTTTCAATTCAGTGCTCAATTTTTCAAGCAGAAGAACTGTTTCAGTTGCTGCCAGCAGCTTGTGTGGGTTGGGTGGGTTAATGTCTTATAAGCTGATGTGGACATTGTGCTCTCTCAATATTTTAAAGTGCCTTCATTTATGTAGCTCGGTGCAATAAATCTTCCAGCTCTTTAGTGTTCACTGTAATGTCATACCCAAAGATTAACACACAAACTGAACACTGAAACATTTCTAATAATGACAAATAGGTTAGAAATAGCAAGTTGTATGTAACAGTGTTACACAGAGAAGTGTTTGTTCTTATGATAGTGAGGAAGGTTTTAAAATCTATTTCAGGTCTATAGTTTTACTGAGAAAAATCACAGAATTTCTTGAGATTGGATACTGGTGTTTATGTACATATATAAAAATGGTAGCATCACATTTTACGTTTTTGTCTTCAGAAGTTGTCTTTGTGATTTCTAAGTAAAAACTTCTACCTGTAAAGAAAGAAGAGACTTGTGGTCCATAAAATGTGAAGCATAGAAAACTGTCACTGAAGAACTTAATTGGAGGTTATGTTGAATAATGAATGTGAGTACAAGTAGCAAGTTGTGTCATTTTTAATATTTATAATTAGGATCTGGATGTCCATGTTTAAGCTTTCCTGATAAAAATGCATATGCAAAGTCCTCACTTAAAGAGATCTATTTCATTATGACTGTATTTGGAAATTATAATGAAGGGAAAAACTGATTTTTTTATGGTTTATGAAGGATTAAGTGTATGAGTCAAAAAAATGTTTGTATCTTTGTGTGTCATTTCATTATTGGTTCATTTAATAAATGTATTATGCTCAAGTGAAAGAAATAATTGTCATCCAGTTTATACTACAGAAAAATATTCAAGAAAGTACTGTTTAACAAATTATTAGTAATTTACTTTTTCTTGATAGTAATGAAATGGAGGAATAAGGCATACCTAGCGTATGGAACATAAAGTACTCTTTAAATGAAAATTTTAAGACTTTTGTTATAATTGTATCTTGTCAGAACATCCAGTTCCTAGTTACAATTTGACATTATCGAAATGTAATAGCATAAATTACATGTTTAAGCTCAAGAATATTTTATATTATTTAATTTTCATGTCTTTTTTCTATATTTTATATTCTTTTGTTCACTTTTGTATATGTGATGGTCCAGTTAGAACCTAAATGATATTCTCTGGTTAAAAAAATTAGTAATAAAGTCTCAAAATTCTATAAAGAATGTGAAGATAAATAATAAGGTATCGATGAATAATTCCACACTTATTTTGAGCAGTTAGATACTTAAGTTTCTATTTCAGGCATTGGTTTAAAATTCATCTGAACTTGTGCTATATTACTACAAGTTCTTAACTTTTTTGTTTAAAATGCTTGTAAAATACTTTAACATTCTCAGAATATATATATAGTTCTACAATTTATTTTATTTAAAATTTGTCACATATTATTAGTATTTCTATTTTCAGTCATAAGGAGTAGCTTATAAATTAAAATTTGTCAGTTTTTATAAGAAGAATACACTGCATTGAAAATTAGATTGTTTTAGTTAAAAATTATTTTCTTAATGGAAACTTAAAAGTAAAAAAAATGAAAACTTTGTATCACGAAAGAACTGTGAAAATAAAAGTGTGGGACAAGTATTCTGTTTCATGTCATAAAAAATTACATTTTTTACAAGAATAAACTCTGATCTTCAGAGAATATTTATTATTCTGTTATTATTTCAGAATGTTGTTTTATACTGGAAATGTAACTCTAATATATGCAAATTGGAAATAAATTAATTTTTATTATATGAAATCTAAAATAATACATTTAGTTTGCGGCTAGCAATATAACTTTCCTTTCTGCCATAATAAATAACCTTTCGAAGTAGAAATGGAGTGGGATTTACATTTCAGTTTAACTGATAGTTGATGCAATATTCCTAGTTGTATATTACTGCATGGCATTGTGACTCATGCTCAAACGTTATACTGTGAAACTCAAAGAAAACCTATCTATAAGGAAAACTATTGTTTTATAAGTTTTCACAAATTCATAATAGTTTGTATAGTACTGGTTTTACTTTAATGAAAAAATGTTTTTAATATTTGAAAATGGTCTTTCTTAAAAGTACCCTTTTGAGAGTCATAAATTGTCACAGGTGTAAAAGGAGTTGAACATGTTATGCATTTTTTTAACGAGGTCCAGAAATTAGGAATGAACGATGAGACAGCAATTTCAATGAAGGACTAGAATATGTAATTATTAGGTGGAAGTCCTAAAATTTATTCAATAAAATCTAGGATTTCTATTTCCGTGGCTTACATACTGGGGTCTCGGGTTCGATTCCCGGCGGTGCCCGAATTTATAACTTGTGTTGGGCAAGGCCGTGGTCTAGGCAACACGGAGTTTTCCTCCGTGGCATCCCAACAATTACTCCATTCACACACAGAGAAGAAGGCAATGGCAAACCACTTCTGGATCATCTGCCAAGAACGTATATGAACAGGTCCCAGTCCGAGAAAAGGATGGAAGGATCCTGTTCATATGGACCTGTCGTCAGACAGAACACTAAATAAATAAAAATAAATAATTATGGCCTAAATGAAATATTTTAAGTGCATGATTAGTAAAAATATGAAGTCAGAAAATTTGTTACAGGAAATGAATGAGTGTGTGTCAGCATGTTTGCAGTAGTAATCAGCATTTTTAATAAATTGCGATGAGGTTTCTAAAAATTGCAGTAATATATAATCCAGTATCCTCTAAGTAGGTAAATTGTTAGTGTAGCCCCAGTTCTGAAAATGTTGAGGGTCCCTGTCCTGGTGCCTTAATTTCACATCCATAAAACCCCCTGCTCGTTGGGCAGACTCTCTTGCCGTCGAGTATAACATCAGGAATTTACGTGGCCATACCACCAGACACTGGTCTACCCGAGCACCGGATAGAGAGGAATAGAGGAGATGCTGGGGCCCGCACGCGAGCTGATGAACAGGTCATTTAAGTGCTAAGTGTATACAAACAGCAACAGAAAAGGATTTTCAAAACCAATAGACCACAGTGTTAAGGACTAAAAATTGTTCTCACTCTTGGGATGTACCAGGTTTAAATCCTGTTGGATATTGCCTTCTCACTCACTGTGCGTTCCCCTCAGTCTGCATTTGAATACCAGTAATAAATCATGACCCCCCAACATACCTTCAGATACAGCATTAATAGTCATTCTATTTGAGTAGTTTTCAGATCATTTTACTATGCTAGTCCCTATATTGAAAAAAACAGATTCTACTAACCAAAAATTTACCAGCCCACAGAAAACTTTTCTGAAGATGCCATATCTAAAAATTGCTTTGTAGAAATATTTTTAAAATTGTCCATGCTTATGTGTGCTCAAGATGGCAATGCATCACACTAGTATAATGGTAAACTGTGAAACCCAGAGCTAATCTGATCTGCAGTTTCATAATATTGGGATTTCAATTCCCATTTCCTTTATGATAAAGGTTAACTTGCCCCAGATCCCAGAATACTGCAACCTCGAAAGAAGGCAGGTTACCATCTGGAAATGAAATGAGGTATATTCCAAGTTTGGAAATGAAATACCATGTCTGTGTTATTGAAATGAATGAATATATTTTGCAAGTCACTTTTATTAAAGCCCTGGTATGTATTGCTCTTCGCTCCACGTACAAAACACACTTTCAGTGATGGAAACAGCTGTGTTTGAAAGATGATTACAAAATTGTATCTTACATGGTCACAAAATAAATCAGGACTGTACAAAGACATTTTGACATTTACAAAATGACATACAAACAGCACGCTTTAAAATAAACAGTCATAAAATATAAGTTTCACACAAACATGACAAGATGGTTAAAATGTGAATATATTTCTTTATTAAGTGAAAAATTGAGCATTTACCATGAGTAAATTTGGTGTCGTAAAAGTTATAAATAGTATAAAAAAGAACATTATCCTTCATGCTTATGGCTTTCATTAAAGCAGAAACAAGCGTTCAGATATTCTGAGCTCTTGACAACGTTGTGGGTTGATTTTCTTCATTTGTCTCACCTTGGATGCTACCTGTTGTTCAATAATGGGGCGATACTTCTTCTCATATCCTAGTTCTTTCATCTCCAACAAAAATTCTAAGCGATCCTGGACCTCTTCTACCACTGCAATACAAATTTCAATTAGATATTTTACTGATAGCCTTTTGTGTTGGGATGAACTATGAAAAATTTCCAGCTGATGGGTTATAAGAGATATTACAGACTTCTTTGTGAACTTATACTGAAAATGTTTTCTGATAGCAATATTAAGATGTAAAATTCTCTATACACGTATCTCTGTCACAGGAAGACGCACTGCAAACAAATGTTTACGACCATGTCTTTATAAACACTTGTACAAATGTAATAATATACTTACATTCTGTAAACCTGTCCGTTTGCTTTGGGGTTTCCAGGGGTGGCTTAGGAACCAACCGCGTTTTGTTCACGGGAGTTGGAGGAATAACTTTACCATATGCCATCAGACTCTGCAATTTTTGCTTCTCTTTTTCTTTGTCAACTGGAAAATAACATTGAGAGAGAGGCAGAATAGTCTCCCAGAAAATTTAATGATAAATGTTTAGAGCAATTCACATGCATTCCACCTGTGTGTTTGATTCTTATAATTTTAGAATTATGGACCTAACGGCCAGCAACCTACATAAAACATAATTGTACACATAAAAGGGCCAAGTTGTACCTCTGGGATGAATGGGAACAAAAGAATCTCGTTCATATGCCCCTGAAGAAATTATGGCATCTCGGGTTCGTTTCTTGTGAAAAACATGCTTTTTAACATAGGCACTTGCTGGAACTCGAACACTTGATCTAACATCTTGGCCAGATGGTAGAGGTGGTAGTGGGTCACCATTACAGACAGAATTTTGAATCTGCTGCCGTTGGAATATTGACAGTTTGCTTTCCTCCAGTAGAACTGTTAAATGAGAAGACAAGAGCTTCCTGCTTAAGAAGTTCACTGTAAGCATCTATATTTATATAATGATAGGTCTCAACATTTCATAATTATTATTATTCAATTATTACCCTTCAACAGTTGGTGTGTTTCCTTACTATATCGTACTTTATGTGCATGGAGTATTCCCTCCCCTCTTACTACATTAGTAGCTCCTGTAGAAGACATTATTAAATTATATAAACTCTTTAATTTTCTATTGTAATTGTTCTATGCAACACTAAAAACGTTCTTAAACATTAATGTACTATGAAGCTATAAAAGAATATATACAAAGTTACATTTTGTTGTCATAGTAACAACATGATTGCTTTCAGTATTCATTACTGATACTGCATAATTTATGTTTTATTTTCGAGTTATGGATACGAGCATAAAATAAATATTTACAGTTACTAGTAAACTGTTTGGATTTTGCTGGAAGACTTTGGTTAATTCGGTGATGAACCTTCAGGTTCCCTAAGCCACCTAGTTAGTTAGTTTGTAAATTGTTTAAGGTTAGAACTTTCAGTTCTTAATAGAAACTCTATCTGGTGACAAGTTGAATAACTTTATAATCTACACAGTTAGTATGTCTATATTTTCTGTGACATATAATTCAGAAAACAGAATTGACCAAAGTGTAAAGTATGACCTTGTCATGAACATATTTTCCTGCGAATAATGTTAATTCATATTGTTCCTAGGAATAAGTAAACATGGCATATACGGAAATTATGGATTTATGGTACATTGGAAACTCAGTTAATAGGTTACAATGATGTTAGCTGTGATTAATATCAGATTCTTAGCGTAGACTCGTCAGGTAATAGCTGTGTTCGTATTGCCTGTGGCTGTGGTTATAAGTAAGTTGGTAGCATAAACACGTCAGATGTCTATAAAAATGGTAGTCATGTGGTTGTAGTCCTAAAAAAGCACGTGTTCGACTATGCATTTGACATAACCTCTTATTACAATTGACAGTTTTGTTCAAATTTATTTCGCAAGGTTTTAGAAATGAAGACATTGGAAAACGAACGCGCTTTCACTATTGTATACGTACATAATTTTCCGAACATTGAATCTTTCTACATTTTTGTCCTAGAACGTGCAGTATAGTAAGGTGGTTAAAAACTGACTTAGCTTCTCAATGGCCTTTAATTGGTGCATTTTCTCATTATATACCTGGGCAGTTTCAGTATTCGGGGTGTTTGTTTATTTCTGTCATCTTAATAGTTACTTAACTCATCTCGTATGTACAGAGCACGATACGTTGAAGAATGTGTATGACTACGTAATAGGTAAGTTGTAGAAGTGTGCCACGGGAAGTGTTCGCATTTATATTGGTTATTAGTAAAAACATCATACCACATAAACTCATAATTGTTAATATATGACCAAAGAAACACACGAACTGTAGGAACGTAATCAAACTTATACTTTTTAAAGACATTAATAATAATGAATTGCTATTAGTACTTTCCAGTATTTGATGTGTTGGATGAAAATTAGATGATGTTAAACTGAAGCAATACAAGTAACTTTTGGAATTATGACCTGGCAATAATGTTCCTTAATTTTGTTGCAGTTGGAGCAGGCTCTGCAGGAGTCATTATGGCAGGTCGCCTCAGTGAATCACAAAAAGATTCTGTTCTTCTCTTGGAGGCTGGAATTGAATCCATGTCACCTCTGTTCAATATCCCTATAGTTACACCATTGTTGCAACGTACTGACTTAGACTGGCAGTATCACTCAGAACCACAGACGAATGCTTGCTTTGGGCTTGAGAATAATGTAAGTTCAAGTTTATAAGTATTGGTCAGCAAATATGCTTGTGTAGTCATCTGTAATGAGAGAAAAATCATATTGGAAGTAAAAAATTGAAATAGTGAAATGTCTTTTAAATTTTGTGATATTAGTGAAATGTTGAAACACATGAAAAGTAAAATATTATTGAACCATTAACTGAGGAAACATTTGATCAGTCCTGTTTATATTTTGTGTTTGGTAAATGAACGTTTGGAAGGACTTTACGGTATGTACTTGCCACACAGTTTTTAGACTGAAAAAATAATTTTAAATAAAGCCTGCCCTATTAACCTGCCTGTGAATTTGAGTTATGTTTCTGGTTACTAGCCCAAACACATAATGTTATAACTTACATGATGCAACTGTTGTTACAGCATTGGGAAGTTGTACCAAACAATAGAACAACTTTAACTTTGGGAGACAGTCAATCTGTGTGTTGTTTTTCATAACTTGTGAACACAGCATCAGATTTTTATGAAACTTGATATAACAGGATTTGATAAAAGAATATCTGCAAATCTGAATCATCATTATTAAATATGAACATATAGCTTCTGTATTAACTTTTACAAAAAAAGAAAAAGACAAGTTGAACAGTGTAGCTGTTGATTTGAGTTGTATCTGGTATCTACATTGGCTGCAAAACATTTTGGCTGGTGAAATTTTCAGGTGGAACGCTAGGATCATGACACATGTACATCTTATGTTGTGCCGGGACCATCCTGTTTTTTTCTTGTCTTCTTCCACAGGAAACCAAGATCCTTCTAAATGTTTCTTAAGAAAGTGCTACCACGTTCAAAATTTCAGAAGTGGTTTAGATATAGGTTCCGATGTTTCTTCTTGCACACAAAATTAATTAATTGTTTGCTGAGTGACACACTCATTGAAAACTTCCATGTCTGTCACACGTTTCGGTGCTTTGAATGACTTTCTGGGTGAACTGAATGACGTTCTTGTGCTCTTGTTTTCCTTCTCTACTGAAATTCTTCTAATTGTATTTCAGAAACTTTAGTTGTCTCTTCCACTCTCTTCTGCACTTTTAATGGGTTTTCTGTAGGCTAATGTTCAGGCATTTGTCCCTTTGCCTCAAGCACTTAATTCTTCATGTACATCCAGTACAATTCCCTGCATCTTGTAAGTTAGAGTAAGTATAAGATGTTTCATGATAGATATCTCCTTAATTTTCACAGGTTAGTCACTGGCCAATGGGAAAAGTTGTGGGAGGTACGAGTAAGTTGAACACCATTGTATACCTCCGTGGCCACGCTCGCGACTACAATTCGTGGGCAGAACGTGGAAATGTTGGCTGGGCTTTTGAGAATGTTCTCCCATATTTCAAGAAGTCTGAAAACCATCTAGGAAGATTCAAGAACAATGGTAAGTTGTTTGATTACTTCGTTTGTACGAATTTGAATGTATGAGGAATGAAAAAATGGCTGTACCTAACAGTTTATCACTAGAAAAAAGCATTCATACATGAGGACAAGAGTTTGAGGCCTGGTCAGTGTATATGGAATTTGTGGTGGAAAAGGTAGGGCTTTTACAGGTATTCTGGAATTTTTAAACAAAATTATGTCCTTCAGAACAATGATATGGTTTTGTAACGAGTAAACTTTATCTGAAACAATTACACAGTTTGACAAATGTATAATATAAACTCTGTCTGTTGTATGAAGGTGCATGACGTACTTACTGACATGATGTGTATTTATGTCGAACATAATGGTTGGATTAGATAAGTAAAAGTATTAAACCTGCAGAAAATATTTATGTTGAAATGTGTTGCTCTGAATTACTGACTATCTCCCATGTGGAAGTGATTTCTAGTTCTATGTAAGTTCAATTTCTGTGACTGTTTCTGTGCAGCCATCTTAGTTGATTATTTAAGATTGAAATTCACAGTAATACAGGCACTCACTCTGTGAACCACATCCTGGAACAGTATGTAATGGAAGTAACATAACTAGCAGGTAAATGGTTGAAGATATCCGTCTTCTGGGTTATTGCGCTGTGTAGTCTGGTCGATGTTAACCAACGTTTCAGAGGTCATACTGCCTCCATCATCAGGGCGATGAGTATGAAGATTTCTGTCTTCTGGGTTCTTGCGCTGTGTAGTCTGGTCGATGTTAACCAACGTTTCAGAGGTCATACTGCCTCCATCATCAGGGCGATGAGTATGAAGATTTCTGTCTTCTGGGTT